GACCCACTCGTACACGCGGCCATCACGCGGCAATCGACTGAAGATTATTCACGAATGCGTACCGGCTCGACCACTCGTCAGATATACTTCTCGTTCAAAGCGATAATCTTCTTATTCATTCGTCGTCTGTTTTACGATTCCTGTCTCCAACAGCTGTTTCATTCCAGTGTAGCCCATTTGAAAAACAACACAACACAGGACACAGGGTAAGGTGAAATTCCATTTATACTTGTTCGAAAGGACTTGATCCAGAAGTCATACACTCGAAGTGCACATTATTAGAATTGAAGTTTGTCGAGGTTAATAAAGCTCTTTACGAAACGATGTTTATTTTCATTATTTATAATGTTTACTATTTAGTATGTACTCGCTGTGACGCAACAAGAAACTATTCTACTTTTATTGGTCGTTATGCATTTGTCAGTGTCAAATAAATGGGTTAGGTGTTTGATCAAAATTTTATGAAACACATACATTCAGCATTGTTAATAAATGGTGACTTTACTTCACACGTGATGATATGACACTATCAATAAAATTGTAATTAGCGCAGAAATTTAATAGTATTTTGTACATCATTATAGTAAGGTTATTCGTAATTATGACACTGGGGCCGCGGTTTGTAAACTTATAATAAATAATATATACTTCACAGTGTAAACTAATTCATAATAATATACAGTGTTTACACTATTAATTTCCACCGTTTTTAAAAATAAAAAAGGACAAATTTTCACTATACATATTTTACACGGCATACGATGACTTGAATAGATTTTTAATATTTGCAATGGTTTTTTATTGATTTGCGTGGAATGACGATACCATCGAGACGATTTCAAGAACCTACAACACAGTAGTATTTTTAAAACCATTAATCGTCGCTTTTATTTGGGAAGATACGAAAATCTATTTCTTTTCCCATCAGAAAACATATAAAGTCCGACAAAAAAATTGATTCCTTCAATTGCTTTTCTGCCTCTTCACATTAAAGACAAAAGTTCACATGTTGCAAATATTGACGATTGTCAAGAAGCGTGTAGAAAAAAAAGGTAGTATAACATTTATTGTATGTTCATTTATTTAGTAGAATACTACCGTTGAACAATGTATTATTATTCGACTGAAGAAATAGAAGACATGTTACATATTTATTACGAAGGTGATAACAGAACAAGTGTATTATTGTATAACGGAAGATATCCGAACAGAGTGCATCCAAGTACTAAGTATTTCCTTCATTTTTGTATTTCATAGTGACCTTGAATATGTTGTTGAACTCGTCTCGGCAACCACTTCCATATGATACAAAAATTATATACTTATCAATTTAAATAACTTTACGGTATCGCCATTGCGCGAAAATTAAAACTATCTATTCAAACTATGGCATTATGCATAAAAAATAATGAATCTTTGTCCTCTTCTTTTTTTCTCACAAATCTATACATATTTACTTTACTTCGAATATATGTATCCCTGTGATTAGTAATTTTGTAGCTACTAAAGACAGTATATTTCTCTTTGCAACAAATGGATGATTTTAATATTAAACACTCTAATGTGGAAATTATATCTAATTATAGAATTAGTGAATACATTAAATGTAGCTTACAAATCCCTAATATGTGCATACGGTTATAAATTTTGAAACATAATTTCGTATGCGATCATTTGTGTCGATACATGTTCAGTACCGTTTTTATCTTATTAACGCGATACAGGGTTTATAAATATGAGGATAAATATGATCAATCGCAATTGATTTGTATTATGTTCATTTTATCACACAGATGAATATAATTACAGTTCTTAATACAATCTTGATCATTGTTAAATTCAATTAGATATATGAAGGAACTTCGGCATAATTTTGATACCGGTATTATGCCAGCATAGCTATACCAAAACCGTTATATCACCAAAAACTGAAATAAATACCCGTATTGTTTCGGGGGTTCTATAGTATAGATGGTAGGTTCAGATATTCCTGAAACCGATATATTACCAAAAACCGAAATAAATACCGGTATTTTATAATCAACAAATAGTAACGTATTAAAAGACTAAACACTAACACTAACACTAATAATCTAAAAATAAACTAACAAACTACACAATAGTATACTAATAAAGTTCAAAAATCTTACCTTGTTGTTAGTATGTATTCGCTCAATGCTCAGGTATTAGACTGACGAACCTCCACGCTTCGCCACCGATCTCGACGACAAATTTTCGTTTGTTTATATTCCACGTCCACTTTCATGCTGGGCTTTCCTGCTCCCCCTTTCTAGATAACTTCCTCTAACTATTTCCTTCTAACGTAAGACAGACGATATAAGGCGGCCGGTTGATGTTGCGAAATTTGGCGTTTGAGATCGACGCGTCGCGTCGTTCCGACTGACTCGCGATCACACTATACATATTACCAGAAAAATGCTGGTACATGAGTACTTTGATTTCGGTACTATATCAGTTTCGGTATAATTTTGCTAACATAATACCGGTTTTAAATATCTTCTTACAAATATCTTGAAAATTATAATAAAATAGAAAGACCGAAAAAATTAGGAAGGTACAACCGAAAAATACCGGTACATATTTTACGTTTTGGTAGAAGTCCCTGGTAACCATATGTTTTAAGTGTCATAGAGAGTATTATATAATAAAAGAACCAGTCAAGGGTATTGTAGAAATTTGATTTTGTAATACCGTCAAAACTATTAATATTACAAAACGTAAGCAGAGAAAATCTAAAAGGGGAAGGCACGGTTGTGAAAATCGCCTTTGGAACGGTATTATGTGGAAATTAAAGGACACATATGTATAGTATTACAAAACCCTCATGGGTTTCTTCAGAATGGGCCTTGGTGTTCGAGATATTTTGGTTTAAAGTTTTGCATGTGTCACGTAGTCTAGTTACATAAAATTTTCCACCAAAAAAGGGCCAAGGCTACGACGGTAGAATACCTGCTTAGCACGCTGTAGACACGGGTTCGAATCCAAGAGACGACGTATAACCCTTTTTTTTTTCTTTTTTTCCTCTGTTGTATTCTTTCCTTTCTTTTTTCTTATTTTACCACGTTTTTATTAACTCGCTTTCTTGTCTGTCTATTTGTCTGTTCGGTACAAATTTTGCAATTGATTTTAAACTAACTTCCCGATGAGATAAAGACTTGAAACTTTAAACATAGCTCAGAACTAGATGACAATGCAATATTAATTCGCTTCCTTGCCTGTCTGTTCGTTAGGGTTCCGTACGGAACCCTATTACTAAGCTCACGCTATCTGTCCGTCCGTCTGTCTGTCTTACCTTTAAAAGGCTGTATCTTTTGAACCGTAAGGTTCAATCCGGATTAGGAATCTCGATTAGGAATCTGTGTTAGTAATCAGGATTATAAATCTGGATAGAAATAATAAAGAAATAATTAAAGAAGTAATAATAAAATGTTTGCTAATGCGTAGAAAAGGCCTCTTTGAAAAATTTGTTTTTATTATTTTTTTGCGATAATCTTTTAGTGAGCTTTAATTGAAAAGAATAAAAAATAAACAAGACTAAAAAGCAGAAAATAATTATTTAAACAAAAAAAAAATGTAATATACCACGTTTTTAAGACGGACTAAAAAGTATAAAATAATTTTTCCTACATAGCCCCATACAGATAGTCCTGAAAATTTGTGATTGTGAATTTTTAATAGCTATGAAAATACTTGTAAAATTTAAAACAAAAAACGTGGGGCGCATGCAATAGATAGTTCACCTAAGTCGCTAACAATTTTATTTCACTGCAAATGATATGAAGTGTTGTGTGAGTTTTCTCAACGGCAGCTACTCTCTACACTCCTTACTATTATCTTGCGCTCCACGTTTTTCGTTTTAAATCTTACAAGTATTGTCATAGCTATTAAAAATTCACAATCACAAATTTTTAGGACTATCTGTATGGAGTTAGGAATCTGTATGGGGCTAGGAAAAATTATTTTATACTTTTTAGTCCGTCTTAAAAACGTGGTATATTAAACATTTTTTTTTATTTAAATAATTATTTTAGTATTAGATATTATATACTAAATATTATGTACTATCTTACACAAAATGCAAAATTGAAAATGCCTTTACAAGAGAGTTGTCATATTTATGTTATGTATTATGTCAAATTTCACTAACTATTACCTCATTTCTGCTTGACAATCGCAGGCGTTGAAACTTTCGGCATGAAGAATTCACACGGAAAAATGTTGTTGTAGTACATAAATATGAAAACACTTATAAAGGCATTTTCAATCTTGTAATTTGTGTAAGATAGTACATAATATTTAATATATAATATCAAATACTAAAATAAAAAAAAAGAAAGGAAAAAGACAACAGAGGAAAAAAAATTTAAAACAAAAAACGTGGGGCGCATGCAATAGATAGTTCACCTAAGTCGCTAACAATTTTATTTCACTGCAAATGATATGAAGTGTTGTGTGAGTTTTCTCAACGGCAGCTACTCTCTACACTCCTTACTATTATCTTGCGCTCCACGTTTTTCGTTTTAAATCTTACAAGTATTGTCATAGCTATTAAAAATTCACAATCACAAATTTTTAGGACTATCTGTATGGAGTTAGGAATCTGACACAATGTCAAGGTTTTAAACATTTTCAAAAGAAGTTTATATTCTGTACATTTTTTAACTTTCCTGTTTAGATATAGAAGAAAGATGTCAATATCCACAAAGGACATATCACCGGATAAGCCAATTCAAACCGAAATTAACTCTGATTTAAAGAAAACTGTACCAACACCAATGGAGAAATTAAAGAATACTGCTGCCACCTCCTTCGAATGTCGTTTAGCGAAAGGAAGTAAAGAAGCAGGCGACAAGAATCAAGGAAAGGTGCAATCACAGACCCAAAGTACTTCAGATGCTAAACAGGAAAACTTGACGTGTGAAGCTATAAAATCGAGGAATATCGAAGTGGTAAAAGGCAAACAAAAAAACACAGAATTACAAAATGGTTCCAATTGTCAAAGGATCGGTAAGTTTAATTTGCATATATCTCTGGTGGGCAGACAAATGAGTATAAGTCTGGCCTGAGTTATTTGAAAAACTAACTAATTGATACTTGTAATTTGTTTTGGTGTCCGAATATTTTTACGACATAAAGTTTTAGCATTATTTAGTTTATCACTTGTTATATGAATTATCTATACATTAAATAAATAAATGATATGTTTCTACTAAATACAACAAGTGCTTTAGTACATTAAGAAACAATCAATTCGTTAACACTACTATAAACAAACATATACAGTAATAATCTCTCGAACATCAACGTGTTCGAATCCTAATATGAGTCACTGTATATAGAAGTATATTTTTATTAGACTCAGTCCAATAGAAAGGAAAATATTTTACCATCGGTATATTTTGTACGCATATACATATAAGTTCAAGGTTACTCGAAAGTCATGATGTTACATAGCATTGAATCCTAATAGGGGTGAAAAGACATCCCGCGTGTCCCCTTTTAGTCGCCTCTTACGACAAGCAGGGGAAACTGTTGGTGTATTCTTATCCCGACCAACAGGGTTTTTCCATGACTCACCTTGCATACACCAAAAACTATCATTATTCCTTGTAGTAATTATATCTAGAATCATTTTTTGCGATTACTTTCCTGTTCACATTGTACAGCGGCACATATGTAATTGTCACAAATAAATAAATGCTTAAGTTATATTCCATAATCGGGGTTCGTAGGAAGGACAAAAGCCAACAAATGTTGCCGTTCCACGAAAATATCCTCCTCTGTCGAGGCCTCTCTTGAGCGTACGTCCTCTTGTATTGGCGACACATCTAGTGCCTTCATTGCCGATTGGCTTGTTTGAAGTACTCGTAGAAGCGATCGAAGTCGCGACTGAAAAACCGGTTGTACTGATATACGAACCCAGAAGCGATAGACCAGTTGCAAAGGATATCGTTGATATCGGTATGTTCTTATACTAGATTTTCATATAAATTTAATATATTAATCCTGTCACAGTTCGGTTGTGAGTGAAATTTGGGTAAAATTATAACAATTTGAAATCAACACTAAATCTATTGATCATTTGATACCTTCCATCTTACCTCGCTACCCCGTCATATCTACCCTTCCCCACCTAATATCCTTTTTTTTCCTTCATTATTTCCAAGTGCATCTATTTAATAACAAAGTAATCATAATCATTTCTTCAACAGGTAAATACTGACATTTTTAAAATTGTATTCTATATTTTCATCGTACTTTTATGTAATGATTCGTGTCTTTGTCGGTTGTACCACGGTTTCCGAAACAACCTATATGAAAAAGGTCAAAGACGCTTCCTTTTAGATATAAATGACACCACTGATTGTGAGAAGGGTACAAGACCTGTTGATATTATTTTTAGAACTCATTGAAGTAATATGGTATCCGAGAGGTACGATGGATCGACCGAAATCGCCGAACCTGAGGCTCCCTTACCTGTAACAGGTCGCACCACTATCTTCAACTGCTCATTACGGAGTTAATTTTAATATATCCGTTATCAAAAGCAGCTTTTTTTGTAGGAAAAATTTCATAGAATACAGTCATATTTTTTCCAAATTCCCGACACCTGACCCTCCGGGAGAAATTTGCAAAAGAAAGATTTGTTTATAATTTTCCATGTTATAAAAAGGTTTTTTAATGTATAAAGTTTTATTCATATAGGCTAAACCCTTTAGTTTAAATTAAAATAAAGAACAAATAAACTCAATACGATAAATAGTTTCTGTGATAAAAATTGCAATGCAAAGTATTGAACCACCTTTCAAGAACACCCTGTATACAACCGATTCTTCAAAAATTATATTACAATCAAATTTCACTCGTATTTTTCTAACATGTTTTATTATTCTAAACGAAACTTGTATGATTTCATAGCACACTTTAATTGATATTTCTTTCAGCTATCTTGCCAGCAAGTGAAGAATGGGAAGACGGTGAACTTCTACCCGCAAGTTTTTGTTTCAAACATCATTTGAATAAAAATAATTCACCATGTGTTTACGCCGACTTGATTGTGGCAACAGATCGTGCTCCACATGTAGAAGTAAAATAAAAATTTAGAATACAAACCAATTGAAAATGTTATTTGAAAACATTAATATATATGTATACATATTAAATTGCAGGACATTATGGATCTTCGTGGTTATCGATGTTCCCTGCCGGACCGGAAGAAACAAATCGGAACAGCAGCCTTGATATTTAATTATTTATACACTAGAGGCGAAAATCCAGCCTTCTTTGGCAACACTCTTGGTTTGTGAATTACTTTAAATACTTATATATTTGTTACTGTGAGAATAAGTCATAAGAATGTCTAATAGAAAAAATCATGTTTCAGATGTTGACACACAAGTTGCTGCTCTGCAAATGGTGGCAGGAAAACAAGCAGAAGTTGGAATTGTCGAATCGCCCATTATTAAGTGCCACAAAAATGTACTACCAGGAATTGAGTCAGTTCAAATTTTAACAAGTTTGGGACCTTTACCACCGTATCGCATCATGGTGAAAAAAACACATTCTGGTATGATACAAATTGAGAATATAAAAAAAAATGGAAACAGAAGACTATGTGTACCATCTTTTTGTATTCAGTCAATTATATATTATCACTTTAATTTACAGGTGACCTAACAAAGCAAATCGCAACTTATCTATTAAATATAGATCAAAACAAAGAATGGGTTGACAAGTTCGCTCCTTTTGGTGTTATAAGCTTTGCAAAGAATTCTATGACATTTTATGATCAAACTGATGTAAAATCTGTAGCTACTAGCGTACCATACTACTGAGATTTATTCGACTATATTATGTATTAGATATACACAATCGTATCATTCCTTTTTTTTTACATCTCTTTACTTATTATATTTTTCACACGTAAATTGAATAAATACGATATTCATATAGTAATTTTCCATATGTACAGTGTAGTCTAAAGTAAATTCCTCTCCAAAAAATCTACTAATATCTTTAAGTCTTAAAGTTTAAAGGTGTGGTAAATTAATTTGCAATTACATTCAATGCATTAATTTTGGAATTGTCAACAAAAATTCAACAAATCTTTGAACAGTTAATCTTCTACAAATTGCTTTATTTAACTTGAACCATAAACGAAAGATTTAATATCTTATTGAAATGTAATCTTATATTTCAAGTGAATTTTTCTGAGAACTTAATCAGAAAAAAATGCTAAACAGAAATTCAAAAATTGTATAAGTTTCAATTTTACTGCTAGTAGTAATTTTAGTTTTCAATTCTACCATTATGGGGTGCACAAGTCGTATCAGTGTACATGTATAGCTCACTGATTTCTGTACAGGGTGTAACAAAAATGTTAGAGGACCCGGAAATGGGAGATTCGTGAGGTGATTTGAAAGAAGTTTTCCTTAGCAAAAATGTTATCCGAGGCTTTGTTAACGAGATATTAACGAAAAACACTGATCAATCAGAGTGCGAGTCCGCCAGGCGAGTGACCGCTGTATTTTTTTTACACGGTAATAAAATAGTACCGATTTTAAATAACTGCTTATAAATATCTTGAAACTTGTAATAAAATAGGAAAACCGAAAATATTTTCGTATTTCGGTTTCTATAAGGGTGACGAAGGTACAACCGAAAAATACCGGTATTTTATGTTTCAGTAGAAGTCCCTGGATAAAATAAACACGATTTATCATGTAATTACAAAATCGTTTAATACAATTTGACTTAATATATATAAGTGAAAAATTCTCTGACGTTTCCTCCATACCTTAAACATCCAAGTATTGGGGTCTTTTACCTTAATCCTATTCCGCCGGATGTTAGTAATCATTAGACTGCGGATTTTATAACTTTATTGCATGCACGATTATCTTAGATTCAGTACTATAAAACGTATACCAAAAATTAATGGGATTATTACTTTACTTAGAACCCTTTATATTAGAGTTATTCATAAGTATTGATTCATAAATATCACGTCATCGACACTACGGAGTGTATCAATAATTATACACAACCCATTAATGAGAACAAATTTGTCTCGGATTTCAATTTCCGCAAATTAATCTACAAAAATCTGTATTTGCATAAACATCCGCAGTCTAATAACCATAGTTTAGGTCGAAAACTAGTAAATATATTAAAAAAAATGTATATTACAATTATAATATTTTAGTAGCTTTTCTTATGCAGTCTAAAATTTTGAAACCAAGAGATCTCACAGTATATTTAACCTGTAAATATGTTTTTCCAACTAAAAAATTTGCCAAGACCGTGAACTTACTACACACTTACAATATGGACTCCTGTTTATCGACAAGTACTAAAGTTACCTGACAATAAACGTTGAAGAAACAAGTCCGCGTCTTGTAGTTTTATGCGTTTCGATTTCAAGAAAATTTCAATCATTGTAAGAAAGCTTACTAAAGTATTACCATCATATATATTTCATCGGTTGTTTAAATGACATCAATTAAAGTTACTAAAACTAACCACGAATGAAAACAAACGATAAAGGAACCGCCCGAATAATACTTGTATATTTTACCAAGATAAATATTAGTCAAAACACACTCTTAGTGGAACAGTTTTAAATTATATAGTAATAACTTACCGGCAAAATGAAAAATGGTTCACAATTTTTTAATGGGAGGTTCCTTTACAAATTTGAGAGTATCATTTCGGCATTAATAATCACTTTGCATTACATTTACAAACCTATTCTTTCAGTTCGAAAAGGGAGAAAACAATAAATTTATTATTTTGTACAGTCCTCTTAAAATTTGCAAATGTGAAATAAAAACATTTTAATAAAAAAGTTCGTTGTTGTTGAACTCAACATTGACAAATTGAAAGAAAATTGATAAGCTTTGTCCATTACAATGGTTTTACTAATGTACTCAGAACCCTTATAGAATATTATAGAAATGTTACTTTTTTATATATCAGAGAAATAAGTGGGTATTAGCAGATGTAATAAATAATTCAGTTGAATCAATTCTACAACGTAGTGGAAAAAACTTGAGAGTATTTTACGAGCCCTTATTGTAATTTCACATAAAAGATTATCAAAAATTATTTTATACAAATTATACATTTGCCTTATGATTCTTTACGGGCAACAATTTTGATTGGAAATTAGTGACATATTGAATGGGAAATAGAAAACGTAAAATAGAATGTGTTCACCAGAAGTTTGAGGGAAGCTGACCATCAGGCTGCGGGATAAAACCTTTTGCTAAACTGTTTTTCAAGAATTCTTCAAGTCGTACCAATGGCCCACCGCCAACACTCCCTACGCTCTGCATACGTGGATAATATTCTTCCGACAGGAAAATTAACAGTTTATGGAATTGATTCGGATAAGCAGTCCACAGTGCATTTCCGGCAACTTCAAGCATGTCCAATAAGAGAGTCGCACAAAGATCTACTATTTCTCTTCGCGGTTCTGAAATACAATCGTATCATAGATTATCCAAATAAATATTTAAACGATGTTCTTTTTGCAAACTAATTACCAATATTTAAAACAGCCGCCAACCATCGCCACGCGTTTTGAAGTCCATGCGGATTACTTTTATTAATTCCTTTTCTCTGCGATGTAATAGTAATAGATGCATACAGTCTCATTAGGCCGGACATTCTTTTCAAAAATTTATCGTGTTTTTCGACTGTACCATCTTCACCATATTTGTAACCCATCGATTTATAATAATCTTCGTACGATTGTCCTACCATTTTCGGTAAAAAGATAGGAACAGTATACGGGCAAGCGTTATGAAAGTGTGACAAAAGTAAATCACCAAAATCAGAATGATCGTTCCAAAGAGCTATAGTTACAGCAGCAATTGGAAATGCCATTTTTGGTTTACTTGAAACAAGTGTTTCGCCTTGATTCTGTACAAAAACGTATGTTAGATGCTGTACAAATTACTAGAAAAAATTAATGTCGTTTAATAATTACGTACAACTATTTTTTTAGCCAAGATGTTTTTACAAAAAGCTACACCCTGTGGGTGTTGGTGGACGTTTAGTGAAGATTGTCCCATAAGAAGTTTATGTAACCTTTCGTATTTATCACACAAGTGTTGCTTGCTGATACCAGAGATTGCATTTATGGGTACATTTATTGCTTTTTGATATTCAAATCTGAACTTTTTTGTGCTTGCAGACTGTACAAATTCGTCGTAACTTTTCATATAATTTTCGAGAAATTGTTTGCTATTCACGTATATTTGCAATGATTCTTTATCAACATATTCATACAAATGATCTACAAATAAAAAGAATATGTTGAATTTAATATATTAAATATATGTATCAACAGTTGACAAACTTATATTTACTTTCATTCTGTATATTTGTTGAATGATTTTTTTCTGGATCAACAGGTAGAGTGACTAGTGGAATGTTTGAAGAAGTCATATTTTCTATTATTTGCACATTTTGCTGGTGTTCTTTATCTTCATACGTGTTTCCATTATTTTGAACATTATTGGTGCTAATTTGTTGTGAATCAATTGTCTCACAAACAGTTTGAATAGCATTAGGTTTCTGTATTTCTAAAACTTCAGGTTGTAACTGAAATTGCTTTGAGTTCTCCTTATTAGCCAAACTAGCTCTATACATAGCATTTATCCTTTCTAAGATTATATCAAATAAAAAACATCAAATTCTCCATAATTACAAAAATATATAAATAAATAAACAATTCCTCACCTATCTCTACATTAAATACACACAACATTTCATCAATTTGTTGAACAGCTTTTTCTATAGTACTTAAATCTGCTGATGTCACGTCTCCTATCTGTATACAGAATATACATATAAATTCTATGAACAAGTTTACATTTTTTAAAATTTTATGTCTTCAAATATTTTCTTGTATTGTTTTTTGGCATTACTTTTTACCTTAATTTTTTCATCCATAATCTCTACCTGATGATATAACTGTTCTAATTTTATACTATAAGACGATATCAAGATAGCCATAGAAATTTTGTCTTCACAACTGTCAGACACAGCTATAATATCACTGTACTTCATTTTAAATACATTTCTCAAATTCATTATTAATTTGGTTAACTCTTCTTTCTCTTTCATTCGTTTTCTATATTCTTCCATCTCCCTTTGTCTTTCATGTCTTTTCCATATTTCTTCTTGCTCCGCAATTCTTTCTTCTGCTAATATGTATGCATAGTTCTCTTTACTTTTACGTTCACGTTCTTCTGCCATGTGTGATTGCGACATTGCCATATGTTCCTTTATAGCTTTTCCATTTTCCTTCATATGCTGCCAACGACGCTCAAACGAGAAAGTTCTAAACTACGTTATTCAAGGGCTGAATGTAAAATGGAAACCTCATTAAATACTAATAAATATTTTAGCATATTTAATTGTAAACAATCTATATGCTATAATTGTACAAAATTCATAATCTAATTATAATAATTATACTGAACTTATACATTATATATCATGTATTTTTGGGAAAATCTGTTACCCGAACTTCTTCCTTCCTCTGGTATTCACTTTCCAAAAGAATTTTTTTCACAGAGAACGTAATGCCACTTTGCATAGAGACTTTGTTATTTTTCAAGTGAATTGGTTTTTGTGGAGATTTAATGTTACAAGAATTCTGTTCATTTTCTATATTCTCTGCTTTATTGCTTTCATTTTCAGTCACTGTAGAATCAGGACCAATTGTAACACCATCTAGATTAGGCCATGTAAAATAAGCTTTCTTTAAAGCTGACATTTTAAGGCAAGTGAAATCAGAAGTGATGTCGTTTATATTTTTCATCTGCCAATAAAAGCAAATAAAATTATTCATTTATAATAAATAAATACAGACTTAAGTTATAGAATAATACTTACAATATCGTCTTCTGTGTCAACGAAGTGTGGCATCTTTGCAATTACGTTGTAAAAAATAGAATATGACGTAATAAGTTTGAAGAAATCGGATATTTACAAACGTTTGCAGACACAATTGTAACCTACAAATTTTTAGTTGTTCACATTCACTCTTATATAAATACATTCAAACAGAATATTATAAATTACTTCACACGTTATCATCACACTAGAGTTTATATGAACTCTATTTGACTTTAGAATATTCACATTCCTTTAATCTTACAGAAACGTTTCAACATGTAAATACACGATGTACACACACTGGATCATGCCCAATGTGCCCAACTCTCCAATACCAGTTATCCAGGTCATACATATACAGGGTGACAATGAAATACCCGCAATACTTTCGAAGAACGATAACTCTATGAAAACTCATCGAATTAAAACAATTTTTATTTTATTTTAAAGAATACAAAACGCTAAATAAAATTTTACAATAATTCTTCAAAATCTCCTCCTTTAGCCTTCACACAAGCTCTGAGACGCTTCTTAAAATTATTTGCGATGGTCGCACACTCTTCAGTAGTAATTTGATTCCAGGCTCTTTCTAAAGCAGACATTAACTGTTCTACGGTGGTGTATTTTTTAGAGGAGATTTTTCTCTCCAAAATTGACCAAACTGAATAATTCATTGCGTTGAGATCGGATGAATTTGATGGCCATATCGTTCTATCCCACACCTCCGAAAACAGCTGTTTGCACATTCTCATTGCCGATTGGGCCGAATGCGCCGGAGCCTAGTCTTGTTGTAAACTCTACTTATCCTTTCCGAAGTGCTGACGTGCCCACAGCCCACGGGTATAGTACATCTCTAAGGATGCGTTGTTGATAGGTGATGGCGTTGATTTTCAAGCTTTTGTCAACAAAAATCAACGGCGTTTTGCCTGTCGCGCAAATACCACCCCAAACCATTACAGAAGTCGGAAAATGGGAGAAATTCGCTTTGCTGACTTATTTGAGCCCTTTAACAATTGTCTATCGTTCTGACGGTTATGACATTGCTCAATTGTAAACATTTTTTGCATCCGTAAAAAGCACAGAACGGTGACGAGCACACGCGACCAGCTGAAGCAACTTTCTCGCTTTCTTCCTTCGCTGTTTTGTCATTTCTTCTGTCAGATAATGACACCGAACCAGCTTATAGGAATGGCATTTTAGACCGTTTTGGACCATCAATCGAAGCGATTCGTGGTTAATGCCAATGGTTTTAGCCATTTGTCGCATTGATTGGACAGAATTACGATAAATTCGGCAACGTATTTGGTTGAGATTATCCGAAATAATAACTGTTGGTTTTCGCCCCCTTCCTTGTCTATTTTCACATCCGTCAGTCTCCTTGTATCGTTTGATAGCGTCGTACACGGTTCTAAGTGGCATTTTGAGCAGTTTTGATATAGCTTTTGCTTTCTGCCCCTTTTTGTACAAATTTATAGCCGAGATACGAGCTTCTTTCACCATTTTTGAATCGTATAATATCACAAAAGTTCATAGAGGGCAGCACTAGGATGTACAGAATTTCCCGCGGAATTGAAATATAACATTCATTGTAAACGAAAAATAATAAAAACAGGACAAACACCTGAGCAAAAAAAATTGCGGGTATTTTATTGTCACCCTGTATATGTATATAGGTAGTATTTGCATCGACGAGTGTCGCAAGATCGCTTGACCTCGAGCGTTAGCTACGCACTGCGATTGGTAGCCAACGTGACCGCGGGAACTCGGCCGGCAGATTCATGCTCTGAGTATTAGTGAAAAATTAATTTTGTAATACAATGTAAGGTAATTATATTAACAAAAAATGAAGTAAATACTTATTAATTTAGTAGTCTTTCAATATTTTTAATGATATAATAAAAGCATATGTTTTTAAATAACCATAATCATGGACCTTATATTATATACAGTACATTTTGTTTCATTCTAATACTAAAATATCTTACAAAATCTATAAAATGAAGAATTAAAATTAGTCTTACTACCCTGCAGTTGTTCCAATACTGTAATACAATTGCATTTTTATAAAAACACAATTATACTCTTGTTTAATAGAAACATGGCAAGAAAATATGTATAATTTAATGTTATAATAAGATCATTATTATTAATGAGAAATGTCAATTCATACAAAATGATCAACTTGTTTGGCACAACTTCAAAGCTTTTTCATCGCTACAATGTACGAAACCCTTCAAGTAGCTAACTGATTCATTCTCAAAGTTCAATATTCTACACTGTCAATGAATATCATGCTCAAATTATAATGTAAATACAACCAATAAACAAAAATTCTTAAAAATTTGTATTATTTAATTAAATCAAATAATTGTATATTAAATTTATAAGTAACAATAGTGACAAATATTACACTTTTAGTATTGAAATAATTCTATTACAAGTATGTTACACATGTGTGGAATACCATACGAAATATGAAACCTAATGAATTAAATTCTGTGAACTGTTCTGTAAGCTTAATCACAACTATAGTTATTCGACCAATAAAAATTATATTTGGTACTACTGGATAAAAGAAAAAAATAAACTTGTACTATTTCGTCTAAAATGAACACATGAAAAAATGAAGCAATTTTGCCAGTCTGTAGAAATTATTCTAATATTCAAACAGTCTCATCGATTGTATTATTATTATGTTACTCTAAACCACGAGTGTCAAACTGGTGGCCCGGCGTGTATTTTTATGGCCCGCAATGACTTATATTTTATACGAATTGAAAATATTGTCAAAATGTAAGCAAGTTTAAATTTCTTTGTATATGATACATAGCGGGAACTCCACTATGATTGTTCGGCTAAACTGCGAAATTAAAAAATTGAAATAACTATATAATATAAATACATATTGTCCGACCTGCATGAATTCTACTTGTTAGGCCCGTGATTAAAATGATTTTGACACCCCGGCTCTAAACCAATGTGCATTGTCATTCTTGAAGGGCTTTATTTATTTTTCATAAAAAGTTAGTCACACATAAATTGTTCTTCTACAGAACTGTGGATTTACATTGTAATTATTTAAGTAATTAATTGGTATTAAGTATAATACGAATTTTTATTCTGAACTAGGGAAAAAGGAAAAAAGTGAATTGTGTACATCTGCAACTGTTCAAAACTATAATGTTTAGATTTTGCACAACAATCTCTTTGCTTCCACTTTTTCCATTATCTGTTGTTTTAAATTAGTACCATTCTTCGATGATGCATGCATACTTTGGTGTCTGAATAACTTTTTATATAAAACAAATAAATTTTTTCCTTCAAAGTACTAGAATTCGTAGTTACTAGATACACTTATGTGCTATGAATGCGTTCGTAAAACAGGAGGTATGGTGTGGCACATAAAACCTCAATTAGAGATATGCTTTCAACCACGTTATCGGAGGTATATAGCCAGTGATTCGGCTTATTCCCTCGTCTGTAGCAAACAAAATGCCCTGAATCGACAGATCCACGATGTTCCACAACTGCGCGTAGCTGATACTTGTATTTATTCAACAGTGTTGTTCGAGCAGCAAGCAACATTGTTGCTTCAGGATCGCCCTTGAAAATATTATATATTTGTTACACGTACATACATTTTTATTCTGAATTTTTTTAAACAAAACTATATTCACTAAAATATAATATACCTGTGCATTTCGTTTTGTCGTTTCTGTAAAAGTGTAAGGATCCAATATCAGTATTTGAGGAAACTTTACTAGATCATCCCTTTTAATCGGTGTTCCTGAAGGACTCCATGTAGTTCTTGAAATATGTAAACACAAACATTTGGAAAGTTTTCCAAGAGTTAAAGTTTTCGTAGCGAAACAACGCATTCCACATCCATCACATAATACATCTTGAATAACTTCACTAGTTACAAAACGCGTTAGTAATTCTTCCAATGTATGATGTGTCCTAGTATGTGGGCCCATAGGAGGCAAAGGTAAGGAAACTGTTTCAAGTTTATCATAACGAACAGGTGACTGTAAAAAAATATTCTCATTCATTTCATATAATCGACTATCATAACCGAGTATTAAATAAAACCGACCTTCCATTTGCAGTTACTACATTGTAATTGACTAGTTAATAACCCTGAAAATGGATGTGCCTCAATGGACATTGTTGGTATATTAGGAACAGGCATTGCACATAAAGAGCTCCATGATCTAAATGATTCTTTATTTCCTACGTCTCCGACATTTTTTGAAAGTAGTTCTGAAGACCTAGCAAGAATCATGCCAGGCTTATTATATGCCATTGATATATTTGATATTGATGGTGTTGTGGACATGGCATGACTGTTACAATTTTTATCAAATCCATTTGGCACATTTGAACTTTTATTAGCTGATACAATATCATTACAAGATACACTTCTCAAGGTCAAGGAATCTCCTAATTTTTTTATATCCGTTACTATTGTTGGACTTTGTAGTAAAACATCAGATAAGCAACCTTTCTGAAATTATTCTTATCAATGTTTTCTATTTCTTTATAATATTAACAATATTAATTTAATAACTTCTATTCATTAACCATACCCTGTTTACAGGTTGAATCTCTGCTTGTAATGCATTAAGTACAACATGAAATAATTCATGTGCATCTTGATACCCTGGTGCAAAACTCCATAGATTACCAAGGGATGAAATTATTTCTATTGGTGTTACATCTCCGTACAGGTCTTCTGCATATCCATTGATTTCTAACAAAAAAATAGTTATAAAAATTCCATTTATTTACAAATTTCATTAATGACTTTTCCTTTATGCATCTTGTGGAACTTCCTATTAATATTTTGTGAAATAACAGATAGGTTGTTATTACAAGAATGATTCATTTTCGGTATATCTTTTTCAGACATTGATTTTTAAAAAAACTGATTATGTAGCAAAACTGTCACTAATGAATATATAACTCTTGCTTGAATCATTTTCTTCTATTTAGTAAGGTTTTCCTGATATTGAAAAAAATAGTTCTTGTTCTCAATTTTGAAAATTTTTAGTTCCTAGATGTACCTGATTATCAACAAAGTATAATGCATGTCAAACATTCTCTAAAGAATTATCATACACACAAGTTTTATTGCAAATAATGTTACATTTACGTGATGACGCTTATTAGGATATTTCTTATATTTTTAACCCTTTACACTCTGAGTCTTGCAGTTTGCATTGATGTATGACCCCTGTAACAGTACCAGTCGAGTGCAAAGGGTTAAACATGAAATTCGTGAACCACATAATTTTTTAATTGTGAAAGAATTGATAAAATAATGAGTAGTTTACTAAATATATTAACATACTTTTAAAGACGGAAAGTAAAGTTGAAATAAAATTAACTTTGCCATTTTTCTCGCACTGTTTTTTTAGCCATCCAATAAAAATCGGACATGCAGCTAAAGCTTGTAAGAGAGAGTTTAAAAAGCATGTATATCCCAAATTGTTGATTCCAATAATTTTTCCTGTAAAGACATTCACGAAATTATAAACTATTTTTTATTAGAAGATAAATAAAACACTTTTCTATAAACTGAAAAAACTTGCCAATATACCTTTTTTTCTAGGTTTGGGGGAAGGTCCCCATATAACAAATGCTGCAACAGCTATTGCGAATCCTACGCTAGCAAATACAGCAATTTTTTCCATATCCATGTTTCCTAAATATTCGTAAGAATGTTTTCGTTGTAAAAGCTAACCTACATGTCAATTCAGGTTGCAAATATAGTTATTGTTGAATCCATACATACTTTCTTTTACTATCAATTAATATTTTTTTGACGGACAAGATTAACTTGTAGTGATTTCTTTTAAATTAAGTACATTCATAACAGAATTCTGACACACGGTTCAGTCATACCGTCATACCTTGGTAGCCCAAAGAAGTACAGTAGTAAGTACAATAAAAGTATATATTTATTTGAAAAGTATGTTTTAAATTTTTACTAACTCAGTACGAAACAAATAGTTTTTTTCATAAAACAGTATATATCTACTTTCGTTATGCAAACAGTGACTGATATATTCGTACTTGCGATATTCCTACGTTCAAACACTTATTTGGCGTCATAAATGCATATATGTAGATAGCATATACATATATAGATTTTCATATAGGTACCGACATTGATACTAACCATTATATACACTGTAAATAAAATATTATGTTTATAGCTAGTAAAGAATTGTAAGTACCTATAATGAAAAATTAAACACACTAAAAAGAAATTATTACATTCCACAGATTTTTTAAATTTCTATCGAAAATACGGTCATGGTCAACTATTTATAATGTCTTGTATAAAATAATAAAATACTATTTATGAAAATGATATATGTAGTTTCATTCGTAACACCAGCCATTAATCGAAGCTTGTTATGGTTTTGCGTTACAATGTTGACTTTAAATAAACTCTAGTATTGTATTGTTTTAAATATGGTTCTTTCCAATTCGATTTTCGATATTTCGATTACTCGAAGTTCAGTATCGGGTATACTTCACATCGATCGTTCACGCAAACAAAACGATTTGGACATTTGGAGTGACGTTGCCATTGACAACTTTTTTCTTTCGACTCTTTCTTCAATTTAATCGTGTATGATACTTGAATCTTGTATTTTCTATTAAATAAAAATAGAATGTCCGGACGTAACAATGTTTCAGTAATGGTTTCGTAAAGACAGTAGTAGATACAAGAAGGAAAATCAAGGTGACCGTGGGGGACTCGAAAATGTTCCCACGTTCCCGCTTCGTAAGTGTGTGTCGCGCGTGCGTGTGAAATTCCTAAGTGAGAAAATGAACGCCCAAGGACAAGAACACGGTCATGTTGTGGTTGTGTGGGAGTGGGAAAATCGTTATGGGCGTTGGAGACCTTATAGCCCTGCGGTATCGCAACACCTTGAACGAGCACATTGCAAAAAACTTACACGGGTCTTTCTTAATGATGCAGACCCAAATTTGGATAGGTTCGTCGTTAAATATTATTTTTATTAAGAAACTGCGGAATTTGTATTCGTATTATATGTACTAATTGTGTATATAAAATACAGTAAAATAACAATTTCCGCGCAGCTTATTGTAGCTTTTCTTTTACTGTAAACCCAATGAAATTCTTATGAGAAAAGAAAATCGTCTACATAAATATTGTTGTAGATCAATTTATGAAAATTTGACGATGCATACAGATTCGCTATGTATCTATTAATGCATGCAATGGTCTAAATTGTGTCTTGTTTATGAATATATTTCATGTATAAACATGAACAAAATTTTATGACTAAAATTAGATTTGTCCCATGCAAAAAATTATATTCTTATTTGTTTTCTTCTATTTTATAGAAGATAAAAAAATTCTCTTCATAATATATTCTTGAAAAGTTATACTTTTAATGTATTTGTTGCTTGAGAGCTCAAATAATAAAGAAGCAAGTATTGATACGGTTAATGTTTGAAATAGGTATTACATAAATTTGAAGACTAAAATGCAATGTAGTGAAAATGGAGATGAAACACACAATGTCAGAAGAAAGTTTTACGTTCCAAGTTCACCAGCAGGCAAAGGAGCTAAGTGGGAATGGGCTGGTGATACAGATGATTGGCACACATACGATATGGAAGTACAGTGTCTTATAGAAGAAGCATGGGCAAGGGTGATTATGAAATCAATTTCTAAAGCAAACACATCCAAATGGAGCTTGTATAAGCAAAAAAGCATTTGTTATTTTTTGAGGCTTAACTTGTGTGCTCTTAGTTGCTCTTTATTCTAGTAAGCCAAAAACAGCTTATGACATTGACCAGTTGGACATATCTAACTCGGAGTTATAAATACAGTTTTAATTATAAACGTATCTTTTTATTCTAGGGTGATAAAACTATTGACATTTCTAAGACTTACTTAGGTTTTCCTTATATTATAAATTTTTGTAATTTAACTCAAGTACGTTGCTGTACTGGATATGTGAGACCAATACGACGCATTCAGCAAGCACCTTATCCTTTAGTAAAAGTTGCTTTAGAGGAACTGCAAGTTATTTCAGGAAAGAAATCTACATGTGTAACTATAAAAAATACAACAGCAAAAGTAACGCATAAAAAATCATCTACAGGAAATACAAAAAAGAGCAATAAGAAGGTAAGTGAATACATTTTTTTTTTAAATGACAGTAAACATATCCTGATAAATTTACTTGGATGCTAATAGGGTAAAAATGGTGATACTGGTCCATCAAATATAGCACGTGTTATATTGAGCAATTTCAACATATTTACCAACAGACATGGTATAGAAAACAGTAATTCAGTTACAACCATGGAATCTGGTCAGAAAAGAAAAACATGGGATAATGTACTCGATGTAGATTCTAGTAGTACAAAAAGCGGACGTAGACCTAGTGTTGACACAGTTTCTACATATTTGAGTCATGAAAATCCAGTAGACTTATTAGATAGCAGCGTAGGAAGTGATGATGCATTTAAAGATCCTATTTTGGGTAATTTACCGCCCCCCCCCTCTTCTTTTATTATTGATGTAATTTGATATATATTTTTTTGTTTTATTTCGGCACAGATACGGAATCGGATGTTATTTCTCAATATGTGAAAGTAGTAGAGAGTACTGATTCTGATTCCTGCCCTGTATGTCTTGGTATGCCTGAACCCTTGACAGTAGAATTGACTCGCTGTAAACACAGACTGCATTTAACATGTTTAAATGCAATGCTCAGTTGCCAACAACATCCCATGTACATACAGTGTCCTGTTTGTCGTTTAATTTATGGAGAAAAGAGAGGAAATCAACCTCGTGGGACTATGAATTGGACAAGGATACCACGTGCTTTACCTGGATTCCCAAATACAAATACAATTCAAATAACTTATGAGTAAGTAGATTACAAACTGATCATTCTATCAAAAGTTCTACGTTTATGACACACGAAGGGTCAGTTCTTTCCACTGTGCACCGCGGCGCGCTTAAGTGAGTCGCCGGACGCCGCGACCTTTTTCGGCCTGTTGCGACTACAATTTTAAAATCCCTGCAAATTCCAAAAATGGCATATTATGTTCAATTTCTTAAATTTCTGACCTAGGGGTCAAATTTCTAAAACGAAAATGTTTTCAATATTTTTGCTCTACAAAAATAAATTTACAATATTATAATACCAAATTGTATAAGTCTAGTAAAAAAGTATTTTAGCTAATTGTATAAAAAAAAAGTACTGTATCAAATTGTATAAGTGTAATAAAAAAATATTCACCGTGGATAGTACATTTGGTTCTCAGTGTATACAAAAGTCGAAAAAAAAATAAAATTCCAGATACTTTTAAAAATAAGCTATGATAATAAGTGCATGTATATGTATATAATTAATTTTTAAAATATTTCAGCATTCCATCGGGAATTCAAGGAAATGAGCATCCCAATCCTGGTCAGGCTTACTATGCTGTGGGTTTTCCACGAGTATGTTATCTTCCAGATAATAATCTAGGTCGAAGAGTTTTAAGATTATTACAAATGGCTTTTGAACGAAGATTAATATTTACAATTGGGCGATCAGTAACTACTGGTCGAGAAGATGTGGTAACATGGAATGAAATTCACCACAAGACGGAATTAGGCCCGTCAACATCTGGCCATGGTTATCCTGACACAAGTTACCTTGATAGAACTTTAGCTGAATTAGCAGCACAAGGTGTAACAGATGGACAACCACCACCTACACTATATCAAGAACTGCATTGAAACAACAGTTTTGTTTTCTTCATGGTTTCATTTGTGTGCAAGTATCAATGTAACATGTACATAGTCTACTACTCCAATTTTTTAATGGTTGATAATGATAAAGCATTTAAGTAATTATCTTTGATATAATTATAATTTTATTAATAAAAAAAATTAAAATTATAAGTCTTGTTAGTCTGTTTAGAAAACATTCGTTTTTAAATTAAAGTAAATAATATTTTGTTAAAATATTCAGTTTATATTCTTCCTTTTAACACTCCGTCGGCCGCAATCTGTTTTGTAACATCAACGATTGCAATGTGCCTGGGAGGGTATAAGGATTTATTTTCTATTTTTATATGACAATATTTTCATTCCTTTTGTAAATAGTTTATTTTAATGATATGAGAATCTTATTAACAGTATTGGTGGTATTGCAACATTAAGCTAAAAATAAAAAATACTAGAAACACTTAATCTGGCAATTATTGACTATTCCCTGTCAACCTAACCTGCAAAGCCATATTTTATTCAATGCCTGTTATAAGGTGATGCCTACAACACAGTATAACGTAGCAATGTAATTTATGTAGCAAAATAGAAATTTAATATTTTTCGTGGTACTGAAAAGTACAGATTGTTACTTCAATTCAAACTCTATTGTGTCTGGCCGTTCATGTAGTGTACTACAAACATTAATATTTATAAGAAAATCTCGTTAACCTTATTTATACTCAATAAGAATATTATCAAATGAAAGAAATAAACATGTGAATTTACCTGATACAACCCGATGTTCGTGGTTTCTACCTTTTGATTGCTTTTGATAGATATGGATAGATATAGGTATGTCCATGATGTTTATTCGTTCTTTTTGTATTGGCAGTGATAGGTGGCGCGACTTTCAATACAATAAAATGGCTGAAAACTGATTTTTCTACGCGGGCGTGAGTTCTAAGAAATTTTTAACTTTCATTTATGAATGAATAACGTGTTAGTTAAAAAACAACAATGTACTAAAAAACTAAAAATTGTATCAGTGCAAATCGTGACTGATTTTAAACATATTTATCATAATTGGTTTACGCTGCGTGACAGATTTGTATATTACCTGGCACAGAAACGTCCAGTAAATTTCTGATGGTTTTTCTGAAATAAGAATTTGCGCTTAAATGAGTGCTAAAAGGCAACACAAGTGTGTTTTGTGCGACTCAAAATTAGAATCTAAGGAGGCCTTACAGGCACATTTTAGGTACCAGCAGAAACTATTACTATTCATATTATTTGTAAGCAAGTAATCGACTTTATGGAGTAGACATTTTCTTTACAAGGTCTATATTTTTTTATTTGTATATATAATACGAATCTTGATGTACAATAAACATACATGCTTAGAAATGATATTTAACTGTATTATCGATAGAGTTTAATATTCGCGCTATTCTTTCTCTTAATTTGTATATCTTTAAACATCTATATGTCAGAGCTATTACAGAAATAATATTAAATTATACTGATTATCACAAATAATTTCAACAATTTATAAAATGCATATTCACCCAATTTTAAAATGATTTTCAAAATGTTCTTTAAAAAATGCATTTTTTCAAATATATATTAACAATTTTGAATAATTTTTAGATTGTTTAGATAATTGATATAATTGAAACACAAAGGTAAAATAACATTTTCCATGCAGTTTTGACATTATTTCCATCATTAATATCATATATTTATACCTCCTTATAATCATGTTAATAAATATATATTTTTGAGGTTGTTACAAACTATATTGCTTAATAGGAATTTGTATAGTTTTGGCTGGATTCTTTATAACTTAATGTTATAATGTTTAATCTATGTTAGATTAATTATTGCATTGTATAGTAATATTAATCATCTGTACAATGGTATTATAAACTTGGTTGTAACTATTAGAGATAATAAATATTATGCTTCAAGAAAAAGAGTGCCTAAGTGATCTGCCATATTCAAATGAGTTTTTGTAGAGTGATGAGGATTAAAATGTTAAAGCTAAACATATGTGAATTTGACTATAGACAATAAATAGATTACAAGATGCTTAATTGTTTAATAAAAGTTTGTTTTCAAAAGTATAAGCAACTTTTTTATGTAAAAGTCTATTGCAAGGAGTAAAGTGATTATCTATTAACAACTGCACTAAGTTTGATATGTAATTATAAATATCAATCTTTTCAATGTCTAAGATTGTTTCATTGAGTTTAATAAGTATTCGGGAAGCAAGTGATTCATTTTAGATAGTTGCACAGTATTGGGTATCATATAGGTGTTTTAAAAACTTATTAACAGCACAAACAAAGGTTGAAATGGTATATACAATTACTTAGCGATATATACATATAAAATGAACACATTTATATGTTATATTAAGCGTATATAAAATCTATGTATATTTTGTGAAACAAAAACAATGGTTAGGCATAAGTGTGCTTATGGGTATTATTTTCATTTTTTGCAGAACTCAAAGAAGGTTCAAACACGCCAATATGATTTGACACTACTTGTAATGTACTTACTTCCATTACTGTCTATTAAACAGATGATTTTTTATACAAATCAAAGCTTTTTTGAAATTTTTTCTGATAATGTAATGTTTTATTGCTTTTTTTCCATGTCACATCTTCCCTATTACTTACATCCATGTTTTAAGAATTATTTTTAATAAACACTATACTTATTTCATATTTTCATTTTAATGAAGTTGGAAAGCATGTTATTATTACAGCATTGCTTTCTAAAAATGAAGATATGTTGGGGAATGAGGATGGATGTTATTAAAGCAACAGAGACTTCTGTTTTCTGAAAAATCAATGTTAAACTTGGCAAAATCTAGTAGAGTCTTTATTAGTACACCTGATATTTATATCTCCATTACTCTATAAAAATTTATTTAAATATGGGCAGATTACAGATGAAAAACTCTCCTTACATGTTTAGACATTTTTAACAAGTATTAAGAACAAAAAAATGTATATTCATTTACATCACTTTTTAATGTACTTTGACTTGTAACTGATACTTATCTTGTATTTTTAGAAACAGATGTAGAAAATTTTCAGTACTTGTTTACTTGAGAGTCGCAGAATATTTTTCATGGTTAAATGTAAATTGTACATCAAAGATACATAAACTTATTAACATTTTATAATTAACACAATTTTAATGAAGGGGATAGTAAATGTTACTTCTGATCACTTTAAATACTTTGGAAGTAAAACTGGATGTTATTGCTTTACAAAATAGAGTTATCTAATAGTAATTGTTAATATATTTAACATGCGTTATTAAACTTTTAATATTATTATTTTTATTAAAGCTCTGAATTGCTTATGTCATTTTACACAAAGTATCTTATAAAATTGTCTTCAAATAAAACATCAGTCAAGCAAAATCTTTATTTATACAATGTTCAACTGTTACGAACTACATAATTATTTTGTATTGCTGTATAAAGTTAATTGTAACGATTATTCTATCCATGCTGTGGTTAAAACTACATGTTATAGTCTTGACTTTTTATTTATCCTTTAAATTTTCACTGAACCATTCATTTCTAGAAAAAACAACAAAAGAAAAATAAATTCTTTGGAAAGCTTTAATTAATAAATAAGAGAATATTTTAAGAATAAAATGTTTTATTGTATATAAAGAATCAAATACTTTATACAGAAAGCATGCCAACAAAGAAATAGATACTCGAGGCAGACCTGTGAAAAATAACAAAAATGCTGACACCCAATGTGATATGTGTGGACAAGCATTCGATTCAATCACAGCAACAATAAGACATAGATTTAAAGTCCATCCTAATTCACCAGCAAAATTTTATTGTCATTATTGTGGAATGCAGTTTCCTCTAAAAGTATGTTTCTTCCCTTACTGATTATAATCATGTTTTTTTTTGGAATGTTTTAAACTATTCACATTTTCAATAGACACACAGGGATAGTCATCAAGCATCGCATGATTCATCTGAAAGTGAAAGGAAAGAGCAACATAAAAAATGCGAAGAGTGTGATGTGTTATTTTATAATGATAAAGCTTTAGATTATCATTACCGTTCTGTACATAAGAGGTACACTAAAATATTTTTCAGCAATTATCGTGATGTATAATTAAATATGTTTAAGTTTTATTTAAATGTAATTTACAGAATGGTATACCTTTTTCAACCAATTGCAACACCACCTCCTAGCAATAAAATCAAAGTGAATTCTATGAATGATGCTCTCAGTGTATATTACTGTCACTTGTGTGGAGCTGAATATATTATAAAATTCAATTTACAACAACATTTGGAACGAGCTCATACTCAAGTAATGCAATATACATATATAAAAAGTTTGAAATTTTTGTTGTAATACTTATATATTAATGTGATTAATTTTGTGTTTTTTACAGGAAGAGAGAGAAGCTGTCCCAGAAGATTTAATAAAGTGTACAGTGTGTGCTGCATTATTTTGTAGTAAAAGAGCGTATGAAGTGCATAACAGCTATCATCAACCAGATGATTTGTATGTAACATCAGAGGAACAAAGATTACAAACAGTAACTAAAGTAGATCAAGATTTTGATATTAGACGTGTAGAAGGTGTAGCTGATAAGTATCTTCCAAAAATTAGTACACCTAAACGACCTTCTAAAAATTGCAGACAGGTATAATACCTAAAGTGATGGGTATTTTTTAAATTCTTTGAATTTATTATTATGATTATCATCAGTAAACTTGTATATTATAGGCTAAAAAGGCACAGAAAATAGAAGTTAAAACAGAGAACTATGCCTCTTCTGAAGATGAACCAACTGTTATGAATGAATCAAGTGATTCTGAAAGTGATCTTCCATTAAAACAAAGAATTTGCAGCTAACGGAAATCATTGTTTCTAAAATCTTTGCATGTATTGGAAACTTTTAGAGTGTAATGATTGTATTAAAATAGTTGTCAGTATGAAATTTATATCATTCTTGTTTTCAAATTTATGCATTAATATATAAGATGTATGTATGGACAATTGTAGATGATCAATTCTATATTAGTATTTTTGTATCAATGTTTGTCTATCTTCATTTACGTTGTTTACCTTTCCATAAATTCTTAATTTCTTATAGAAATTCGGATAATGAAACACATACTGTACAACACATAAAAATTTGTGTACAATGTAATTAGTCACATTGTATTTGTAAATACTTTATCAAATTATGATAAGAAACTAAATTACTCATAGAAAAAATTCATAAATGAGTTTGATTTGTTTGTATAGAAGAGAATATAATTAGTAATATTTAAATTTGCTAAAAAAGAATTCTGTAAAAAATATTTTTAAAATAGGCAGACGAAATTAAAATTAAATACAGTAAAATCAGCGAGAGAGCCACCGATTATCCCCCACCACTTCTTTGTAACATGCCGAACCGGCCAATTTATGCCGTGTTCAGACTCATTTTCACCAGGAAAATCTTATCAATCCATTACAGAGTCCTCGCGATTATTGACTCTTTGTTGATTTGCGATTATTGACCAGGCGTCATCCACACCACTGGGGGTGGGGGAGGGGCCGTGAACTCGGCAACCGCATACTTTGGTGCCGCAGCCTGCGGCCCGCAGCGCGCCGAGACGGCTTCACGTTCACGACTCGTGGAGGCGGCCTCACGAGGCCCAGCACTAGTGTTGGGGAGTCGAAGGCCCGGCACGCGCGTTACAATGTTGTATCGCCCCATGAAAAAAGCAGGGATTGAATGAAACCGTGAACTTTTATAATGTACTTTTATAAAATCTGTTCGTCGACTAAATTCTCATCAAATAAAAAAATTATTTGTCATGCGTCTTATAAAGATTACCAGAATTACCTTTATTTGACGCATGACAAATAATTTGTTTATCTTTTATTCGTTATTTGAAATTTTTATTTATATAAAAATTTACCCATCTCTGGTATCAGAGGTGGGCAACTGATCGTTCACGAGTATCGCGCGGCTGGAATTTTTCCTTTCGATGATCGTGAGCAAACAGTTGCCCACTACCGATATAAATGTACGAATATAATTATAAGATCTAATTTTTATTTTACTGTTTCAAATAAAAAAAATGATAAAAAGAATCATGTATAGCGACCGTCGCGGTGGACGGCGCGGCGGCCGGCAGCCGCCTCATATATGTCAATAATTATTTTCATTAAAATAAAACATTTTTGATAATATGAAGATCGTACTTTTTTTCAAATCCTTCAAGTCCTTCTTTCCTTATCCCTGTGCACATATATACAAGAAAGTCGAAAAATCGTTGTTAGTTCAAAATCTATTTCCGCTG